TGCCTGCGATGTTTGTCCTTTTTCTGGTAACAATCGGTAAACAAAAATCACTTGTTTTAGAGAAAGGCTTTAACTAACCATCATCATGAAAAATAAAACCAGCCCTTATAACTGGAGGGCTTGCGCCCAATGTGCCACCAAAAGCCGGTGCCTCCTTGCCTCCGGGAATGTGTGGATGTTGCGGAGGGTCCTGAAGTGGATCGAGCGCCACAACAGCCAAACCTCAACGGCCACAACCAAATCTGAGCGTGCGGGTGCCAAGCTGACTTCGCCGGCAGTGGTTTCTGTTGCGTGCCACCTTGGCAACTTGCCATCCCACACAACTGCACACGTTTTGTTCTTCCTCCGGGGGGAGTATGTCCCAAAAGTCCTGCCAAATGAGAAACAACCTCACGGCGATTTGTATTGGTGGTTAGCTGCCTGTTCCATCCTGTTCCTGTAAATTACGGTGGAAGCCGCATCTTCGAACTGATTTGGGAGCCCTTCTTGGTCCAAAGCGCTCCTTCTTGCACCGTCCTTCCGGGCAGATCGTCAGCCGGGCGTGGGCCAATTTCCCCATGAAGCATGGAAGGTTCATTACTACATGGAAACCAAATCCAATCAAACAACCAGTCGACTGAAAAACGGTTGATTTAAGTGTTACTTGAAATCTTCATGAGTCCAACAAGGAAGCATGACTGGGTCGCCGTTTCAGATATTGCGATAATGATATATTCAAGTTTTACTTGAAATGATTAATCTCACTGACCCATCTTGTCGTTCGTTATTTGAAACCACCCAACGGCATGAGAGACCAAGTTTGGTTTTCATGTCGTCACACCTTCAAACACTTGATGAATGTAGAGGGTTTCCTCCAGGGTGGAGGCCATCGCTTCTAGGTTGGCGGCCATTGTTCTTACTATTGTTTACTGTATTAGGTTGGAGGCCATGAACCCACCGACTTCACCCACCAGGCCCCAAAACATCGCTCCGCTGTCCATTTCTTGGGGCCGACGTTGGGGTTGCCGTTGGATCCGAAGAGTCGAGTCAACGGTGAGACATCGGCGTGGCCGACCTCCCCAGTGTCATGAACATCAGACCTCTGATGGATGGATTTTGACGATTTCGGGTGAAGTCCTCCGGCCCCATTTCAGGTGGTTTTGGTCGACTCGCGCTAGAATCTGCTGGTCTAGCACGTGTTTGGATTCGGGATATATATATATATATATAGCTGTGCTGTGCTGGAAAACTTTGATTCACCTCCTGATCTGGCCTGGCTTTGCTCAGATCCCACCAACCGACGATGGCCATCATAGGGCCACCGACCTCTCCACCGACCAAGCCTCTCGAGACGGCTCGCCGTCGGCCGAGGTGCCTTCGTGGCCCTCGGCAGCCTGGGGATCACCTCGACCTTCAACAGCGAAGGCGACTTTCGCCGCGGCAACACGCGCCTCGCGTGAAGAGGTGCCAGGGCCGAAGAGGTGCCACGCGGAGCTTCGCGTCGTGGAAACCATCTGGTTGGGCGCTGAAGGGTAGAGCACCCGGAGAGCGCAGTCTTTTTAATCGCCAGTTCGGTGCGCCATGAGGGAGTGTTGCATGGCGGTGGTGGCAGGAGCTGGCAGAAAAGAAGAAACTTTGACGAAGTGGCTAACCTAATAGGAATGGCCTCCAACCTGAATGTTCACCTCCAACCTACTTACTAACGATGCCCTCCGACGTACTAGCGATGGCCTCCAACCTAGAAGCAGGAAACTGAAGAACTTTCATGAACTTCAAAGGGGTCCGAACAGGTTTCATCAACCTCAGGTATTCTTTGGATCTCTCGAGACTTCCGTCGGGAGGACATGCGAGGAAAGCCTGTTGGGTCGGTCTGGCTTGGTCGTCGAACTGGAACCACTGGTCATATTCCAGTACTACAAGTAGCCTAGTAGCTGGATCTCCTTCAGGTTAGCTATGTATTTCACATGCTGGATATATCCTAAGGTCCTACGCCGACACAGTCAGGAATTAAAAAACTGACATGTTTTTGGGTGCCAGCTTCAACAGGCAAAGCATTTACGGTGTCGGACATCTTGACCCCTAACATTCCTTGCAACGGCACCGCATAGTTCGGCACATCCCAACAGATCCACCCTTCTGACCCTCATTGTCGCATGTCGCATGGGGTTCTTTTGCTTTCGATGTGTCCATGTTGATCTGCACTCGACTACTGCTGTCCTCTATCAACAAACATTCCACTCTTAGTAACCAGCAAAAGAAGAGACCCGTGATGAGAGAACTGATTTCTCAGCCTCCCAAGGGTCTCTCAGATCCATCCGCATCAAGGGTCGCCCTCGTCGTGCCACCGGCCGCCCACTTCGTGCGGGTGCACGTGGCGTCGCCCTCGCTCGCTCTCTCGCGCGTTAATGACCGAGCACGATCCGCGAGTTCGCACGATCTCCTCTTCCGATGCTGGAGATGAAAGAACATCAAGGATCAATTTGGGGTGGCCTTGATGGAAGCTGTGAACCACAGAGCCAACATCGACAAGAACCGGCCCTTAGGCGTATATAATTAGGGCTCCACTGCCACTGTAGATCTGTGTATGGAAATCATGGAATCATTGTGGCGCACAGATCTAGAAAGCAATGGAACTTTCGAAGAGGTGAAAGAGGTGCTTGTGTTCCCAGGAATCCCAGGGCCCAGATTATTTTTACATGTTTTACTGAGCTGTTTCTTTCTGAACAGGGGGAATATGTATCTACTGACATCGCTTCTTCGCTTCTTCGCTGATGTGGGAGACGAGTCCGAAGCAACGTCTCGGGATCGTCGCTGCACGGAGCGTGCGTCGCCGACGTTCTGCGGGCCAGGGATCTCGAACCAAAATAACGTCGGTTTTTGGAACAATGGCCCAAACGCTCCATGGGGGTCAATGTAGGCATGATATGGCAGTCCCATGGAGTGTATGGGTTGGTGGTCCCAATTCAGGCAAGACCGGGAATTCTTGGAACCAGGCATAACCTGAAATGAGTTCTTGGTCCATGGTGGTCCCACTCTTGAAGGGCCGCAAGAGTCCCTGGTGCACAAGTTGTGGCAGGAGTATGTCCATCAGGAGTACATTGATCTTCGGAGGAAAAATGTGGACGTGCTCCTGCCGTCGGAATCATGATCATAAATTACTGTACTAGCAAATCAACATGATCTTCATGTTCCTTCATGCACAACGCTGCCACACGTTGTGCTGCCACCATTTCAGAGACATAGAAGAGTTTCTCCCACACGTTGTGAACCAACAGACCACTGCCCAAATGGGAAAGCTATCTATCGTTTGCACTCCTCCATGTACAGGCCCCTGAAAAGCTGGGCCAGCAAATTTTCAGGGGCCATCCATGTGCCCTGGCAATCACACAACTTGGGGAACAGATGTCAAACCGTAGTTGTTTCGGCCCTTTCGAGTCCATGACTCCTTGTTCTTTCGGATGATCACTCCCAGGGTGCGGTAAAGCGAGTCGTTCTCGGACGTTTCTTCCAGAGAGGGGAGGGTACACTGGCACGGATGGCGCTTCTTGGTGCCATCCGTGGACCCAAACGATCCGCTGTTCCCCGACAGATCCGCTGCTCCTGGGATCCGCTGCGACCAAACAAGTTCTCAACGACCAAACAAATCCCCCAAACTGGCTTCGGGGGCATTGCTGTATAACCATCCATAGCTGGCTTATGGATGTGTTGGAAGGTTCTTTGAGAAACAAAACCTTCCAACACATCAGAACACATCCATAGCATCGATGGCATCGCGGCCGAAGATGTATGTCCAGCATCGCAATCGTGGCTTCGATGGAACCCGAACCATCGCTGCCTGCAGATCGCGCGGAGATCGCTACCGGGACAAAGACCGAGAATCGATCGACGAGCCACTCCCCAATGGGAGGCGGCGGATTTCACGGAAAAAAGGTCCGGCTGCAATTGAGTTTGGAGACTTCTCCTGATACCCCGCAAATAGATAGAAAAGTAGATCCCCATTGGTGTGGAAAAATGCATGGATTGTGATGGAGTACTTGAGATGGACCAGATGCTACCTCTCACAGCCTTTGGGGTAGCTTCTATAAGAAGCACCTGGTGTACACCTTGGATATACAGCAGTACCTGAACAGCAGGTTCCGTCTTCAGCCGACCAAAGTTATCCTCCAAATATGAAAGTGGATCATACCAAAACCGCTTCGGTTGACAGCTTTGCCTTTTTGGTTTACTTCCCCTTGCAGTTCACCGGCTATGTATGGCTTAGGACTGTGTCCCGGGTGAAAGCTTTGCCCCAGGAAGAAGTTCGATATGCACACCTCAGCATAGCTCTAGCCGTTCTTGCCCATCGTAGCATAGAAGCAAGCTCGTTTCATGGAACACATCCAAACGGTTGGGACTCCGCTGTGTGGGAGATCTCGTCAATTGACTTCAATTGACTTCATTTGCAAAAGCTATGAGATGATGGATGAAAACCTAAGGATTCAGGGAGCTTAAAGACAACTTGAAGACAACCTGCAGGCAACATGCTTGCGTTCACCCAGTGCTTGTTCTTAGAGTCACGGAGTCATGGCTTTAAACAACAACCACCACCACCAAACGGCTATCCACGACACCAGGATCTTGGAGACAGGCTCCTTGTTACCCCAAAAGCCGGTGAAGGGGACACACCACGACTCTTCGGCCATCCACTTAGAAGCAACCGTGTCGCTCTGCCCTTGACGCAGCAACCCAACCGACTTAGAAGTACCTGGAGTTAGATGGAGTTAGAATGAAATTTGGAGCAAAGATCCGCAGGTTGTGCATTCTGAGAGTGTGATAGCGAGGGTGGATCCTCCCTGAAGCACCACAAAGAAAGAAGATATTCCAGGAGTCACAGAGCGCGGGGTGGTGGTGAAAAAAAGTCCCATCCAGTGAGTTGGATGTGACAAGTCCGGCACCCCGGGCCCCTATCCTCCAAGTCCGGCACTCCGAGCTTTGTGACTCCTCGTTCAGAAACCCTTAATCAACTTGGAATTCTGCCCGAGGTGGTGGCTTATGAGGAGGGCCGTGTGAAGGCGCACGGGTCGACTACGTCGGCCTCTCCTCTCCTGCCGTCTATGTCTCCGTCCGTGTAGGGCCTACACGAAGTCGTCGCAAGCTCGTGCCGTTGATGTCTCTTCTCATGAACACCTCCGTGGGTGATGACAGAATCCAATCCAATCGCGATGGATCCGATCATGAAACCACGGTCGATCCTTCGCCCAGATGATCGTCTGTGACGAGGGCCAGAGTTTTGCATGGTAATCCAGTCAGTTTGGGGCGCTGGAGCACTGAACATGGGCTGTATTGTCGAGGGTCGGAACCATGTCGGACCTCAGTAGGAGACGCAGAAATGCTATGATGCCCATATGGATGATGTGGCCATTTGGGAGTCAGAACAAGTACACTCCCTGAAATATTCACAGAATCAGAAGTGGAAAAAACCAGAAAACCATAATAGACCACCTGTTTGTAATTGTTTGTAGAGGATATAATGGTCATCCTTTCGGGACCATGCCATCCACGTAACCATGATTCCAGCGGTGTTTGCCTGGTGTTCCAGAGGGCCCTTCGTTGACAAACTCGATGAGTCTTCAACGGTATGGAAAGTACCCGTCCATTCACATGAAAATGGCCAGGAAACTACCGCCGAAATGCCATGTGCCTTTTAGAGTGTGTGTGTGTGTGTGTTCGACCGGGTGTTCCACAAGACGACCGACTGGACGTGCGGACGGAACGCCCTCAAGTAGAACATGAACCCGCCAGCGGGTTCGGGTGTTCTAGGTGTCACCCACAACGGGCCAACCGGTGTGAATGGTTTGGTCAGTGCCTCGCAAAAAAACAGTTCTTTGCTGTTCATTTCCAAAATAGTAACAATAATAGCTACTAGGAACAAGTGCATCGCTACTAGTAACAAGGGCCTTACTAGTAGTAACAAGAAGCTATTCCTTCCATTGCCTCCCCCGCTCAGACTGGGTCGGGCGCACGTCGACGCGCGGTCACAGGACGCCGTGGAGCAACGCAAGGCGGAGGCCTTCGCCAAAGCCAAGGCGGCACGGCGTGTGTTGGGGCGGCAGAGGGGATCAAAGGGGGCTGTTATTTGGGGGTCGAGGCATTTGTTCCGTCGTTTGGAATTGGTCCCTTTTGTCCAGAAGCTTTGGCATGAGACATCATGAATCATATGGAAACACTCCCAACTAATGTACGAGGAGGGATGCCAAAGACTAATCTCTTCACGAGGAGGGATCCCAAACACATGTGGTGTGGTTTGAAAGAGCAGCGTAAGATAAGCATAATATATATAAGTATAATTACTAAACATTGATCATTTGGCAGTAGGACCGTAGGATAAGGGATTCGTGAATTCAAAAGGTTTCTTGGGGGTGAAGAAAGGATACTATAGTCATGGCCTCCAACCTACTAGCATCTACTGGCGATGGCCTCCAACCCTATAGCGATGGGACAAACATCAAGATCTGGAGACTCGAGACAGATGGGCCAAATCAATTGGCCTGGCCATGCCGGACATCTCCGTCCGCAAGGCCACCACGGCGGTTTCTGCCCGTGCTGCGCAAGTGGCGGGAGCAGCTCCTGTGAAGGTTCGCCCTGTTGAAAAAGCTGGGCGGTGGGTGCGTGGCTGGTGGATATGACGTGATCAACTGATCAACTGATCAGAATCCACTATCTAAGACAAAGAGACAGGTGATTCAGGTAATCCTCCTACAGCTCCATTGATCACTCGCAAGATCATCAAATGAAACCGCTCCTCCCCAAAAGCCTTCAGACGATCACCGTCCGGCACCAGTTGGGCCTCTCCTCGAAGACGGGCGCCCTCCGGAAGCCCAAGAGCTCTTTGGCGCCTCGGAGCTTTCCTTTCCTTTCCGCGCAGACATCCGACGGCGCGGCGCGCGGTTGCACGAAACCACCGAACTGGTCGTCACAGAGGGGCCGTGCATGCGAAACGGGATCCACGACCCGACCACCCGTGGGGTCCGAGGACTGCAATGGGCGGTCCGAAGGGAGCCCAAACGGGTAGAGTCTCCAGACACGACCTCAATGAGACTGGCATATGGACCAGACAGGGGTGGTGGACCTGGGGTCTAGGGAAAGTATTCCAGTGTCATAAGCAATATGGATCCTGTAGGGTAATATTCCCCCAAACACAGGGTCAAGATGTTTGGTGTCAATGCTTGTCCCTAGTCCCATCAGGGTGTTTCGTTCCAGGGAGACCCCCGTAAGGATCTCGCCCAGAACGCTCGCCAGACTGGTCGACCAGTTCCGAACCCTGATGATCGGGGGTCGGAATGCCTGCGATGGTCGCCCTATTGATGCACCGAATTTGGTACCATATGACGATATAGCATGAGACAGAGTGGGTGTTCATGGGTGTTCATGGTTTTCATGGGTGTTCGCCATGATCCAGAAACGGTGTTTCAAAGGGTTTGAATGGCTTTGTGCGCGTGTTTTCTTTTCACCAGCCTTGTTATAGCAGCTAGAGTCAGAGCATGTATATACTTTTTTCCGAGGTGTAGCCAAGATCGTACTTGCTTACATGGATTGGATCTAGTATCTCGAAGCCAAACCCCAACGCAAGGGGACCCAAACAACACAAATCACATCAAATTACGTTTTTCTTGCTTTTTCGCACACATATGTTCGTTTGTGCCTGCAAAGAGGCATGGAGCTCGTGCACATGAGTCTGCACCATCTTTGCGACAGGATTGCCACCGGACCATTCAGTAAATCCAGGTCCACGAAATGCGAGGCTTGTTCCAGGTCCACGAAATGTTGCATCTCCACACTGTGTCCAGGGCTGCCCAGCATCAGCGTCCGGACGCTCCCTCAATGCTTTCTTGGGTGTTGTAGGCATCGCCCCGAAGACGTCTGTCGGGATTGATGGAACCAACCATTATAATTCTTTGAGCTCTTAGTTCAGTTTTGCTAGGGGGTTCGTTTGGGAGGTGGGCTTGTGGGCTTTGGCTCGCGGCCATGCAGAGCGTGAAAGAAAGGATGTCGAAAGAGAGTTTGACGATGCTGCAATGGTTCGCCAGGTCGTCACCCACGACATGAAATCCCGATCCTTCAGAACCTTTGTTTGGAGGTGCTGCTTTGGTGCCCGACTGCGTTTCTCGACTGGTGCCCATTCGACTGCGCGGTCGCGATGGCTCTAAGGAGATGATCGCGACCACGCCGGCAGCCGCATGAGGGACCTCGTCCAGAACCGGCGCGTCCGATGCACCGCCGGCGAAGACCGCCGGAACCCGCTCGGGAACGTCGGACGTGAAGGTGAAAAAGGTGCGTCCGACGTTCATGGGACTGCAGTGTTTGTTCCTGTCAACCCAAAAAAATGGACAGCTATATATACTGGGGATGTGTGTGTTTTGAATACGGTTGAGCAGGAAACGTTGTTCAGCATGATTGTAGTTGGCAGGGCATTGTTGAAAGATTTAAAAGAATTTAGCGGTGGCAAGCAATCACTTGCCAGATGTGACTCAGCGATAGTGTTTAGTGTTTTACTTGGGGTTTGTAACATCTACGTTGCCAGTTAATTAATCAGGTATATAGAATATATATATTTGGATCTGGATACTGTGATTAGACGAATGTCCAGATGTAGTGCAGGCTCATCAGATAATGTCCACACTTGTTTGATCGTTGTTTTGCCCTGGGTTTACCAAGGAGATTGTGCAATTTAGGCATTCGACAAAAGATTGTCTCGGTTTGGTCAGTTCTTTTGTGACGGGCTAAAACGAATTGGGTTGAACATGGTGTTCTTTCATTCAGGATCCACTGTTCAGGAAGAGTGACGCGTCCGCGTGAGAAGAAACCGTCGACATGACCGAAGACGGACCAGTGACCGGTGACGAGCGGTGACTGGTCACCGGTTTTGTCAACTCACGAGCTCGGGGTTCTTTTCTGTGACAGCCTCGTGTTTGTGAACGAAGGGTATGGTATTAATGGTTGAGGGTTTGTTCATGAAACTGGCAACGGCAACTGCGAAGGTGTTCGAAGGTGTGCGAATTGTCCAAGCCAGTGTCATGATGGTTTTGGACGCGGAATTTTACGATGAACATAAATACAGTGTTCAAGGGTTTTGACACCCAGTTGGCGGGGAGTTCCACACTCCCTGAAATGATCATGGGCCAACGTGGATGGCATGGCGGCAAGACCATTTTCCTTTATATAACTACTTTCCACTTGCATCATCTTCCATCACTATTTAATTTCAAAGAGTACTATCAATTTCTATAGCAGTGGGTCCGAGCCTGTTTCTCCGGAAAAATAGTATTGGGATGCATTGGGCAGTATGCCGGAGGTGAAAACCAGTCGTACCGTACGTACCTGGGACTGGGAAGGTCGTACCAGGAGACTTCGTCTCAGAGGTCGCTCCTGGCATCTATAACTTATCCCAGACACGACCCATGGGACTGCCATAGGACTGCCGATCAGGCCAGGGGTGGTTGACCTGGGGTCAATTGATCGGCAGTCCTATGGCAGTCCCATGGAGTGTCTGGGTATGGTGGAAGAATAGGCTACCACGTTACCACCCAGTCACCCACTGAGAGGAAAAAACCCGTGAGCCGTAGCCAAATAGTTCCGAATAGCTCGATTTATGCATGTATGACAGAGGATAAGCAAACTATAGTCATCCAGAGGTAGATTGGATAGGGCCCAATCCCAAACAACCATAAACAGCCCAGACAAGCTGGAGTCACCGACTACACGACTTCAACAGTCCTATAAGGGTCAACGAAGTCGCCTGGAGTTCTGGCACGGAACTGAAAACCTTTCGATGAGAAAAGCTTTGCAACTCCAACTGCAACTGAGAAAATGGTGATCTCCAAAATAGATAGTGGCACGGTTTCCAATTCATCTTTAGCTGGGGATCTGATAGAGGGGGTCCGTATAGACTGACCTTCGTCCCGCAGCCGCGGGCTCGCCCCGGCCATGGCCCGGCTGGGCCGGCGCCGCCGGCCATGGCCGAGGCGAGCGGATTTGGGGCGGAGTCCCGGTGGGTTCGGCGAGCAGAAGCAGAAGCCCCGGAAGTAGAGGGTGGCCAGCCTGGCTTCAATTTCTTGCACCCAGCAGCTTAATTTCTGTTTTCTGTGTGTGGGGCGGGTGTTTCATTAATATGATGTGATGTTTTTGCAATGACTGACTGGGGTTCGCCATGTTGATATGCAGGGGACTTCTCAGACAAGCTCACGAGAAACACTCCTAACTGATCCAATGGTCTACACTGACCTGATGTCAGGCTTCTAGGTCTTGATCACTTTCCCGCAGATCTTTGGGAAAGATGGTGCCAAAGGTGCTCTAGATGGTGCCAGGAATGCTCAATAGATGTCCCAGGACACTCTGATCTTGTTCCATTCCAGGATCCCAACACAGCGTTGCTTCCATCAAGACCCGCGCCTTTGGAGGATTCTGATCTCTCAAATTCGATCCTCCAAAACCACACCAGCTTGATCCAGGCCTAGGCTCCAAGTACCTTCTGAGATGGTTTTTGGGGTGGGTGCCATGAGGCTCCAGTATTATTTTTAGTTTCATTTCTGGAGCCCGTTGAGGGCAGGTGGGTGCCATGAGGCTTCCAGCCCCACACGTCGGGCTCCTCGGTCCGTTTTCGTCGTTTTTCGTCCAGGACTTTAGACGCCCGGGAGCCTCAGAAGGAGATCGGACGTATGAAAGACCGAAGGAGTTGTATCTAGTCCCCAGGGCTCCAGTCGTGCCTTCGTTTCGAAGGTGGGACTGGGGTGGGTGTTTGGAGGGTCCAAACACCTTCGGAGGTACTCGGAGCCCTCGCCTTATAATGTCTGATAGTTGTTGCGGCCGCTTTTCGTTTGCATAGGAAATGAGGCTCCATGGTTGGTGTGATGAAACTCCCCTAGTGGCATTCGTTCAGCACAAGAGCCTACGTAGCTAGACTGGCGTGAAAGAAAGCCGATGTTCAAATCAGTTTCGATGCAGACAAAGTAACAAGGAAAGGAAGAAAGATAAAACAAAGAAAGAAAATAACTAAACACACTTGTTGCGAGTCGGGCATTCTTTGTACCAGCCAGTCAGCGTGAATCTGCAACCGTGAGCTGTCGGCAAATCCTGTGGTGGTCAGGGCTCTATGAACATCTACAATGAGAGTCTTTAGGAACATGTGGGATGCTGGCCACACATGATCCACCAAACAACCCAAAAACCTGTCATCGGACCATCTTTGCTGGCTGTGAGTTGTTTCGTTACTCTTCGTACTTGGTTGCTTCAACCGGTGTCCTTCGCACCGGTGTGGCGTTGCTGTTGATTCGTTTCAACTTAGCCGCACGCACTGAGGTTCGCTCCTAAGCTCCCTACGTTGTGGGGAGGCGAACGAACGTGGGGGGGTGCGTGGCGAGTGGCGTTGATGGGCGAGGCCGGAGGGGGTGATGAAGTAGGCGACAAGTTGCCAGGTAGTCCTACCCAGGAAAAGTAGGATAGGCTTCAACAGTTTTGCGGGTGTTGAGGGGGAAAACCCCACTAAACAGAACAGGTGGAAAAGGGTTGACCATGGTGAACCTATTGATTAGGATGTGATAGGTTTACTGCAGTCAGCTTTGCTTGTGCTGCGTTCATGCGCATGTCCGGCCGAGACGAATATTCTTCTCCAGGGTTCTCCATAAGAAGCGCCACTACCCTGTGGATCCCTGTGTGGCAAGCTTCTCTTGTGAAGGGAAAGCTTGTTTGAACAACTTTGTTTTAGTGGCCGCTGTAGAAATGAATATCTTGGGCAGACCGTCAGACAAACAAAACAAAAACGGAACTTGATCCCAGGGTGAACAAGCTCCGACCATTCAAAATCCGTTGCAACCTTGTTTTCATGGACCATGGAACATTCTATCAGATGGTGACTGGTAGGTGTAGTGCACGCTTTACATGTTGGCGTGTGTACTGTACGTCCCTGCAAGGTCCCTTAGTCAACACAATCATCATGCCCAGCAGGTTAACCATATATTGGTCAAACTGGTGCGTTGGCGGCCTCCGTGCCGAACCCCCCACGCCCCGCACGCTCACTTCCACCCCCCCCGGCGGCGATCGGTGTGATCGGTGAATTTCGTGGACGAGTTCGGGAGCTATTAGTAACGTCCTTGCTCCTAGTAGCGATGCCTTTTGTTCCTATTTTGGTGCACGAAAGAAGCCTGCATTCTCGACCGCATCTCGAGGCTTTGGGCGTGTGCTATCAGTTGAGCCCCTCCGAGTTGGCGCACCTCACTTGCGGCTCGGCTCGGACACCGGAGGTTCTCGACATAGAGCGGACGGGTGGATGTGCGGACGGTTCTCGGAGGGCCCAGCTGATTTATCGTTTGATGGGCCGTTCCATCTCTCTTCGCAACCTCTCCGGGCGCCCTTATGAGTTGCTGATCTTATGAGTTGCATATATGCACCGTCGTGCGTTTCGAAGCAGAACCGTTTACACCCGAGCTGACGAGGGATGGACCAAGATGACATCCCTTCTGAGATCCAGGGAAGCACTGATAAAACATCTTGAGCGACCCATGCCCCGGTATGCCGCGGATGAACATGTGGTGTGCGCAGTAATCATGCCCTTGCCCAATTTGAGGGGTGTGCTCTACTTGATGAGGCTGCTTTTCGATAGATGACATCGGTTTCACTCGAAGTCTCACCTTTTCGCTGTTTCTCTCGTAGAGACCATGGAACCGGCACTCTGCAGATCCCCGGTTCGACCGAAAGTGGAACTCAGGCACCGGTGGAACTCACGGTCTCATTTGATTTGATGTGGAGAATGGTGGAGACTCTACATCCACCAGTTAAGCTGTATAAGTGGTAAAGTGTAATTAAGTCAATCCAGCAGTTTCTTTCTTCAGCACTATCTTTCCAGTAGACACAACATGAAGACATTTTCCCCTTTTTTAGTGCCCACGTTCCGAACCCCCTTCACCAACCCAAACGGACCGGCCGCTCCTCCACCTCCCAATAACCTTCCAAAAACCGTCGAACGTGGTCCGCTCAGGCGTGGCCAAATGGTGCTCATCCAAGCAGCGTTCAGCGCTCTGGTGCTCGTGTGGCCACCCAGAAAGCCGAACCACCCACATGACCCACACACGCACGACGAGTCCGTTTCACCACGTGCGGCATGTCCACGTCAGGGGACAGGTTGAAGTGAGAGTGGGAGACCAGATGGAAAAGATTGCTTTATTTTGCTTTCCTTTTTCCATCTATTTTTCCAGAATGTTCAATCTTTCGCTCCCTTTGTAGTCAAACATTGGTAGGGTGCGAGAGAACTGCAGCCAAAGTCT